ATACTACTCTAATCAAAGGAAAGACGAATTCACTACTATGTGAATATCTCGAGGGTTCCTTAATGGCAAGATCATCTACAGCAAAGTCGTGCCATGGCTCATATAAATTTCCACCATACCTGGCAGATCTTCTAATCTCAGTGTGGAAGATCTACTTACAAAGGAGATTGAAACGAAACAAAACGAATCGAAATGAATTCGGCTAGATAAAAAAATAAAAAAATATCTAAAATTACCATCACCCCTCTATCGTGCGTATATATATGCTAAAAATATAGTTTTAAGGTATGATATATTCATGAGTTAGAGTGTTCAATATCAGGAATAGAGCGTAAATATAAAAGTGGACATTGAGGTCAACACCCAACAAGTGACAGTCTGTTTCATGACTCAATCATCAGCCAGGATTGCGCTTAAGCATGAAAAAGATGACTGCGTTTAAGCATGAAACAGACAGTCGCCGCTGGATGTGGACCTCAATGTATTTCTTATATATATATATATATATATATATATATATATATATATATATATATATATATATATATATATATATATATATATATATATATATGAAATGGATTCAGTCCGACAATTATTTAATATATTTTTCTGTTTATTATATATATAATGTATTTAAGTAAATGCTCTGAGTTTTAATCAAACAGTATTAATGTTCGAGAAATTTCGTACAAAATATGCGCTCTCCAACAGGAATCGAACCTGTAACACTTATGGGGAACCATTATTTCACATGACGTGATGAAAAGCGTCTGATTAACAAAATCTGAATTACTGTTTATAAACACACACGTTCAACGATTTTTCTCAATCGATCATATCTGCTCACGAAACATAACTTAACGTAAATAATGACAACATATTATGAAATAGATTAAGTCCGACAACTATTTAATATATTTTCTCTTTATACATTATTTTTATAGACATGATTTATTTAAGTAAATGCTTCGTTTTTACTTAAATAATATCAATTACATTTACCTGCCTGTTCGACAAAATGTGTGTGTGTATATGTTTGTGTATATGTGTGTGTGCGTGTGTGCGCGCGTGTGGAACCCCCTTACAGGATTGTAGAAAAAATTCAATAGATTTAAGTGATATTAAAGAAAAAATAAAACTTTTTGTGCACAAGTCGGTTTCCAAATTTGAATTTCCATATTTGTATACATTAACCAATAATCGACGCCATATGAAACGTTTAGTCGCGTTTGAATTTCCACACAATTAATATTTGTGTCTGCTACGAAATTTTGGAGAATCACTTTAGAAAATGATCAACAATAAACCCTCCTTAAAATGGATATTTTAAAATTCGGGAAACATTTACTAACCAATAAACTTTTAGTTAAATAAATCTAATTTTTAGTTATTGTGGAGCAGATGATTAAGTTATAAAAGCGATCATATTAGTTTGTAGAATAATTTTTTCTGTCTTTCCGTGAGCCAGGCAGGGTTCGTCGTTCGTTTGTCATACAAAATGAATTTCTCAAATGTTAATTAATTACTCACATTTTCGCATGTTTATTCGAGTATACAATATTATAAAAACGCTCATTGATATTGATACAGTAAAAAACATATGGACCGAATTTGTTTACAAACGTAAGCGGTATTATTAGCACCACTCACTGCCTATCGGCTGCTGCTACTATGAAATTACATAAAACAATGTAAATGCGTGTCATACTCATTATCGTATGTAGATACATTCTGTATTTTTTATACTAACGGAGATGATTCGGTTGTATTGTAAAGAAGACAATAAAAATATTTTTGTGCGAAGCTGTTTCATAAAGAATCTTTGTAATTCATTTCTTGAATTTGAAAGAAAATTAATACTGAATAAGTAAAACGTTTTACATTTGTAAAACCGTATTGAAAATCGTTTATTTCTTCGTTTATCCACGCAATATACACACACACACACACACACACACACACACACACACACACACACACACACACACATATATATATATATATATATATATATATATATTACTATGGCTATGAACTACCAATCATTTAGACAATTTCTATCTTCAATAAGTTCAAAAAAGAAATTTCTTGTTCGTCCAAAAAATAAAATAAAACAAGAATCTTAACTGACGTACCTTGTCAGACATTTCTAATTAAAGATACATCAGAGACGGAATGTTGTCCAAATATACAACTAAATATATATAATGCTGTTTGGAAAAATAACGCTTGACATATTTCGCTAGTAATTTGAGTTTATGAAATAGACAATCTGCATTAGCGAAATGATATCAACCCTGCCATCGACACTGTCAGGTCATTGTTAGATCATCGGCAGCATTTGTGATATTTCGCTCAATGTTGATTACTCACTTGGGTCGCTAGTAGTAGAGGTTTACTTGTTGGTGAATTTGAAAAAAAAAAATCGAAACGATTTCTCCAAAAGCAGCGTTTTGATTGTTTGTGTTTGTATTTTGGTATGTGTAATATTCTTTTTCAATCTGTGCTACTTTTTGTAATATTGTTTCGTCCAGTCTTTCTTTCTTTAATATGGGAATTGATTTTTTGCTGTCTTTTTTCTTTCTTTCTTTCTTTCCTTCTTTCTTTCTTTCGTTTGTTCTTTCTTTCATCGAATCTTTCTTGTTCTTGTTTTGCTTTCTTTCGATCCTTCATTCTTTCTTTGGGTACTTTTCTTTTTCTCTCTCTTTCTTTCTTCCTATCCTTCTTTCTTTCTTTCTTTCTTTCCTTTTTTCTTTCTTTCCTTCTTTATTTCCTTCTTTTTTTTCGTTCGTTGCCTCGTTCTTTCTTTCTTTCTTTCTTTCTTTCTTTCTTTCTGTTGTCCTGTATTCTCATGTATATTTTTCAGTATGCCATTATTTAATCTCCTCCATACTTTTCTTTTTTAGAATTTTTCCCTCTTTTGAATATCTTTTTCTTGTTTTCTGTCTTTACTTCATTGAATTTTTCTTTTGTTCCGTATTTTCATGCAGTAATTTTCTTTCATTCATTTTCTGTCTATCTTTTTTTCTTTGAAATTTGAAATGCTGAAATGTCTAAGATTCTATTGAAATGATATCTATTGGGGTACTGGTTGGGCGATGATTACTCACACATACGTACATGCCGAATGGTAACTGTATTTGACATTAAATCTTCACAGTATTATTAAATGACCAACATTAGAAGTGAAGAAAAGATGTTTGTCTGTAGTCGAAATTCATACACGAATTACTTTAAAATATGGCCGACAATAATGTAACTGTCAATCCTGAACGCAATATGATGCATTATTTTCTTACATTTTAACATTTTGGTTATTTTGTAGTTATGAAAGCATAGACTTCTTTCGATGCCAAACAGTCAAATTTAGCTAAAATATTTTACTTGTCTATCCAAACAAATAACTGTCACTCAAATATTTTGGAGCTAATGTCAATAAAATATCGATATATTTCTAAAGTCTTACCGGAGACGTTATCTAATATTGGAATCATACAGGCAATTTTATTGAAATTATCTTTTTGAGATGCATTGCGTTACTCTTTTCTCTTCGTCAAAAATAAAAAAAATGTGAAGAAAATAAAGCATAGCAAATCATGATGTCTGAATCTTGCAAAAAAAAAATATAGAGTTAGTTTCGGAATGAATCCCATCCCAGTCATACTGGTTGGGGAATAAAGCCGGTTTCTCTCTACACATGCGTATAAATGACAGTTAATCTGACCCCCTTCTCTACAAGAAGAATTTCTCAGATCTAATCAATCTCCCACTTTTCCACCGTATCTAGAAAATGCCGTCAGACTGAGCCATTGATTGAGATAAGTTGCAAAGATGGCGTCTTTTCGTGGACAGAATCAAGTCGAGGGGAATCGCAAAATAAGTAAAAGAAAGAAAGAAAGAAAGAAAGAAAGAAAGAAAGAAAGAAAATGGAATACACACAGTGGAAAAATATGAATAAAGAAGGAAAGGACTCACAAAACTGCTAGAGAATGACACATTAGGAAAGAACAAGCGAACAAACAAACGAAAGAAAGAAAGACACAAATAAAGAAACAATATGGAATTCGTACAGAAGAAAGAGTTTTATGATTGAAGTAGGAATGAACTGATGAGTCCAAGAGAGAATGAATACGAAAGAAAGAATGAGCGATGGACGGGGGTGTACGAACGTGCGAAAAAAGAAAGAAAGACGTCAATAAAGAAAGAAACAATGAATGTGGAATTCATACAGAGGAAAGATTGATATGACTAAAGAAGGAATGAACTGATGAAAAACAAAAGAAAGCATTAACGAGGAAGTTTACGAACAAGTGAAAAAACGAAAGAAAGGAAGAAAGAAAGACACCAATGAATAAACAAACAGTGTGAAATTCATATAGAGGAAAGATTATTATGACTAAAGAAGGAATGAAGTGACGAGTCCAAGAGAGAAAGAAAACGAAAAACAGAAAATATAGATCATACACATGAAAAATAGAAATGACGAAAGAAAAAAATTAAACTGACAAGGACCCGAAAGAATGAAAGATCGGAAAGAAAGATCGGACGAAAGAAAGAAAATAATTAAAACAGAAAAGTTGCCAATAAAGAAGGAAAAGCAAACTTTCTTTTATGTTTATAATGTGTAGGATCATCAAAATTATCCAAATTGAAAGCAAATTGAGAAAACTTACAGATACCTTGAAAGATGGTGAAGATTTGTGAAAGTGGGTGTGCAACGAATACAAAGAAATAGAGGAACAAACAGAATATTAACATATTGCGACAAGGAACAGAATTTAATAAAGAATGATAGGAAACCAGCAGTATTCAGTGGCGAAGGTATGAAGAAAAAGAGGTGAAGAGTAAAACAGAAAGAATACCTGATTAATGAGATCGAACGAAAGATCGAAAAACACTGAGAGAAGCGTAGATATAAAATAATGATGAGAAAGAATTTGAGAGTGAAGGAAAGGAATACAGACAGAAACAAAAAAAATGAAAGACAGGGAAAAAATTCAAGGAAAGAAACAAAGAAAGGGAAACAGAAAGAAAACCAATTTGAAAATACAGAACAGAATAAGAGAAAGGCAGACAAAAAGAAAAAATGCAAAAATGGTGGAAAAATTCAAAGAAAGATAGAGAAGAGGAAAACGGGAGAGAGAAAAAGCATGAAATACAGGAAAAAAAGAAAAGTAAAAAAGAAAGAAAAACAAAACACAACGAAGCAAAATGAAACAAAGAATTAAAAGGAAAAAATCAAATAAAGAAAGAATGAATGAACGAAAAAAAAAGATAAAATTACTGAAAGTAACGAAAATTGAAGAAAAATATAACATACACATACACACGAAAACAGCAAAGAACAATAACAACAACACGAAAGAAAAAGGAAGAAAACACAAAATGCAAATGGCGGCAAAAATCTTTTGGCTATGGCGAAATGATTAATGTGTCTCGAGTCTTTCTAATATCACCGTTACATTTCTTGGCCAAAATTTTATCTGTTCCTCTTTTTATGACTTTTCTCCATTATCTCTCTGCGGGACAATTTCTAGCGTCTTTTCTCCCTCTTAAATCTAAACAGTTGCCGCTTTTTTCCCTCTCTTCTAGCGCAAAGGCAACATTCCCGACTGCAACACTTTCTAGGTTTTCCCATCCCCCCTCCTCCTTCTCCTCGAGGGAAAGATTCAATCAACGCAGATTGATAGTTATACATAGAAATCATAGATCTGTGTTCAAATTCAACTCCCAGCTGTCAGATTGCAGAGTTCAAACCTATATACAGCTACACTCGTCTTCTATTAAGAACCAATTCCCAGTATTAGTTAATAATATTCGAGACTAAATTATTCGGCAGCTGTTTCTGTGAATATAATTATTGAAGTTAACTTAGTATGGTACAAGGCCACGAAAAATTAGCAACAAAAAAATGAGCTGTAGAGAATGCTATTTCTTAAAAAGCGTCATTATACTAATGTTGATACCCAAGAACACTCATGTTAGAGGGTTGCAGAATGAGGTGTGTGATATGAGCGTAAGAGGAGAAAATAAGACGTGAAAATTGTGAGGATATGGAAAATTAATTGATCTTACAATTGAAAAGTTTAAGATTGTAGCGGGAGTCAGTTCCACTAAACAGATTCTTCGGAAAGAGATTTCTGAGTGGAACTTCCTTCTTACCAAAGGAATACATCGAGAATGAGGGTGATGATGGACAGCAAAGAGGGTCTTTTCTGTAAAGGTTTAAAGTGGTGGTACTAAAAATGGATCTCGTCTGAACATTTAGCCATAGAAATAGCGATAGAGTAGAGATAAGCTTGTAACATTGTGCCCGTGGAAGAGGAGCTGTAGGGTCGAAAATAAGTCATCACACGCAAGAACGCGGAATCTGTTTTGAAATCTTACAAGGGGGAAAGTTAGGATTGGTTAACTCCAGCTCATATATAGCATTATTACTCCATTTTTTGGTCTTTTCTGACTTTCTCTAAAATAAAGCCTGTCAGATGGGCTACTTTCTGTAGTGGTAAAAGAATCCAACCATTTTCCAGTAGTTTTGTTCTGATCTGACTCTTGTAAATATAAAGCCCATCAGAAAAAAACAGGTACTTTCTTTAGTGGTACAAGAAGCCAACCATTTTTTCAGCCGCTTTACACGGAGCTCTAATACTGTAATCTTTAAAAATACACTTGAAAGAAGAATAAATCGGTTGTTAACATTTATTCCTAACAGAAAATATAGACAAATTTAATGACAAAATTACAGCTGTTGTTTTGAGGTGCAGAAATTTTCAAAGCCATTAACTTGTTGCCTCATCTCATTTTCTGCAACTAGCATATTTCTATATTTAGATTTAGGAGATTATTTTTTCATAATGTTGCCGGAAATCCTATAGAATGTTCCAGAGCTTCAGCAGCAATTTATGGGTATTCTTCGTGTAGGTTAAGCTAAAGCCTTAAGAGAATGGCTTGCAGTACCCTTAGAGTTCACTCACAGAATCCTTCGTATTCACAGAGTCTATTTTGAGAAGCAGTGTTGTAAAGCGTGAACGTTTGATATTTCTTATGTTAAGAGGAAGTCAGTTGTATGGAGCACCAAATAAAAGTCCAAACGAAATCATAACAAGAGCAATAATCTACAGTTGCATTTTTAAAAATAATTACACCGCAAGCAAGGCAATAAAGCCACTAAGACACAAAGGGTTTACTGAGTGTGAAAGAAAAAATCATTATTAATGAGGAAGAACGATAAAAGAAGAAGAATCAATAAAACAGAATATAACAGAAGACATTGCATATAAACTTTTGAAGATCAAAATTGGCCGGAAAGCAAGAAGCCGGAAAAGATTTCCACAGGCGAGACGTGCGAGAAAAGAAACTGTTAGCGAAGGACTTACATTTACACCTGGCCATTTCGACTGTAAAATGATGAGATATTTTTGCCAATCTAGTACTGCGTTTAATTTCATAAAGTCAGAATGATTGCCATGAAAAGTATTTTTTAGAAAAGGTACAGGGAAGATAGGTTACGGCAATGGGAAAGTGAATGGAGCCGTGATGACACCTCAATAACATAAAAAGCTTCTTTGAAATGATGTGTTTTTATATTTATGATATAATTTTAAAATTTATTTCTTCAAACTTTTGTTAATAATTCATAGCACTTTTGGACACTCATCATTTTCTTGGTTATCGTAATCATAATGCTTAACATATATTGTATTGTCGATTTTAACGTTTCTTTGAAATTCTTATAGTTTAAATTTTCTTCCGTTATCTTACAAATATAAAACAAATATAATAATTGAAGTAAGTTTAAACTTTGGCTGAAGTAGTGTATCTTCAGGTCTCATTAACGTCTTTAAGAAAGACATAAGACCACCTCTTCATTCGCATTCAGTTATGTGCCATGCGTGATAGACGCTTAGGCGATCATGTATCTTTCGATTTATAAATGACGAGGAAATATATTCCCCCGCAGTAGGTTGCCATTTCTGTGGAATTCCCTTCCTATTACGTGTTTCCCTGATAGCTATAATCCCCAACTATTCAAATGTAATTCCAATCGACATCTCCAGATTCTTGAATCTATTCTTTTCGTCTATGACGCCTCTTTACTCTCGCTCCCACCCTCTGTAACCTCTTACGTGCTAGTGGCATCCCACCTTGCTTGGGGTGAATGCTTATATATATATATATATATATATATATATATATATATATAATATATATATATATATATATATAGGTAACTACACTCGTCTCGGAAAACCTTTGGTTTCTTTATTTGCTAATGATCAAATCAATTTCGAAGGAAAAAGGTTTTTTTAAAAAAAAGAGCTAGGAACATGAACGTCTGTCGAAAATAATCGTACAGGATACAGGTTCAAAGCCCAAAGAAAAAAACCGATACGAGTAATCAATTAAAAAAAAAGTGCTCAATACAAAAGTAGAGCAGACCTAGTCAAACCTAGAGAGCCAAACACACCTGCAAAGGTTTCACCTAAGCGGATCGTAGGTGAAAATGGTAGGTTTGACTATATATATATATATATATATATATATATATATATATATATATATATATATATAGTCATCCACAGACCGACTGTTTCGCTGTATCAAGTCGGAATCGAAACACGACCGATTCGACATCAGTCTGAATCTCACACCCTTAGGTTTTCAGCGCACGCAGAGAAATTTTAACACATTATATACGATATATAAGCATGATCAGCTATCAGGTGCTCAATTTATAGCGATAGCTTTTAGCTTTAATTAGCAGCAGCCAACAAATTCCCTTTCTCCAAAGTGCTCAACCTACAAGAATATATATATATATATATATATATATATATATACACGTTCACATATATATATATATATATATATATATAAACAGAGGCTGCTGCTAATGCAACGCTCTTCAATTAGAAGCGAGCTCTCCTAACCACTGACGTCTTCATAGTAAAATTATTAAAATTTCTCATGCTTTCCGCGGTTCGGCGATAGCTTTGGGGTAGAATATCTGACTGATACCAAATCGATCGGGTTTAGTTGCACTGGTAAGCTGTGATACAAAATAACAGTGTGTTTATGGATAACTATGTATATTAGTATGTTTCTTATTAATTTAAGCCTGGTATTTTTTTCATATATTTTATACAAATGTACGTATAGCGAGATATTAGACTCTTTAAAAAGAGTCCAAAAATGTCACCTTTTTAAACATTTCACCTCAAACAAGCTATAAAGACGCAAGGGATTACCGAGTGTGGAAGAATATGAGGATAAAATAACAGTATTAAGGCGAGAGAATGAAAAGAGCAGGAATTAAAACGACGGAATATAACGATTGTCATTAAATTTAAATATTTGAAGATTAAACTTGACTGGAAACCAAGAAACCGTAAGAGATTGCCACAAGCGAGAAGTGCGAGAGGAGAAACTAGGGTTATATTTAGCCATTTCAACTGTAAATAATGGAACGTTGCCAACAATCTAGTATTGCATTTAAATTCATAAAGTCTAGGTTTCAAGTTCATCAGAACAATTAACATCAAAGTATTTATAGAAAAGACACAGGGAAGCTACGTTACACTGGTGGGAAAGTGACTGAAGCGGAGAAAAAATGTTACAGATTTTTCTTTGAATTTTATCAAGAATCTCTAAATATATAGCAGGAGCATCAGAACAGATGTCGCAGAAATATTCAGTGCATGGACGAATGGTAAACTTATAAATGTGTAAAATAGATTCTGTCGAGAAAAATATTTAATTTCAAATGTTCTTCAAGTTACTTATATTGTACAATTCACTACAATTCAGCTTTACAATTTACTTTAACAGAAGAATCCTTTTACTGAACGTTCTAGTAGACGCCAATAACGATATAAAAATACACTAGTAAAAATTCATGTCTACCGTTGTGGATGACGTCACCTGGAGTTTGAAACTGATTCCATACTTACAAAAATCAGCGCACATACAAAATTTCAAAAATATTGTGTTTCATGATTTGCATTAAGCTTTTCCATTTATGATTTGTAATTATAGTTTTCACATAATCATAATATCATCTGAAAGCCTGAAAGGAATACAAAATTTTAGAAGATCTAAAACTTTTAAAATGAAAACAATTCTTGTAAAAATTCATTATTCACCAAAAAATTTTGAGAAAATATATCCTTAATATATGGTATTTATGAAAACAATTAAAACCATTTTTAATTAAATAATGTCTTACTTTTATTGCATTTTTTATTTTACGATTCGGAGCAGATTTTTGATAAAAATTAAGTGAGAGTAACAGATGTGAAATAAAAATATTTTTACCAAGATTTTCTAAAGGGAAAAATTCAAAATTAATTCATTTCATTCATTTATGAATAAGTCCTGAAAATTTAATTAAAAACAGTCAATTATTTCATATTTACAAGAATTTCCAAAACAATGTGTTTTAACGCGCCCGCTCCCCTCCACCCTACCTTAAAAAAAATCCGCTAAAAATCCCTATACTAATCTTTGGCCCATCCGCTGACACAAGTAAAACAAGAATTTTAACCAAAATTTCGAATGTGCTAGGAAGGATTAAAATGATTAATAAATTAATCGAAAAATACTTTGGTCTTTTCTCTCAATAAAATAAATATATTTGCAATAAAACTTTGTTTTTCATCAAGTTTGGGTCATTTTTTTTTTAATCATGGCTTGCTCTTTTTTAGAAAATCTTCATACGTTAATTTTACTGGATACACACACACACATATATATGAGTGTTATATAAGTGTTACATATATATATATATATATATATATATATATATATATATATATATAAACACTAATATACATTGTTCTTTCTCCTTTCTTTTCTGTAATGGTTTATTTTAATCTCTTTTTTAATATTTTTCCTGTCTTTATATTTTTTTTTCTTTATTCTCCTTAATCTTTTCCTGCAGATGGCTCTTGCTTTACTATTTCCCATTCAGCTAATTCCGAAAAGTTGACCATTGCTTCTCCCTTCTTTCTACGTGCCCCGTCATCTATTCAATGATTTACAATCGCTCTGATGGCAGTGTATCACTGCTTTAAGACAATCTCTCCATCCCCTATGTATTGTATCGTAATTCACTTGGCGTCGCCGTCTAACTCCCCGGTTACTTAATTTTTTGCCAGAAAGCTTCCAGTAATCGCCTTTGCTTTCTATCGTCTCAGTCAATGTCCCGATTGGAATAGCTGAACGGGACTTGGATAAACGTGATCCCTATTCAGCACCTAATTAGCCAGAAGAAGTTGGTGGGGCTTGAGACAGGATGTATGACGTAATTAATTTCGTCACTTAACATTTCTGTGTGTATACCAGTCAAATTCTCGCTTGAGGTAATGGATGTTCAGGTCTTTGGTTGTCGCTCGTCTTTGAAAATATCAAGATAGATTCTAGGCACCGAAGATTCATCCTCCAAACGGTACCAGTTTAATATACTTGAAGAAGTTGGTCGTTGTTTGCATCTAAAAAAAAAAAACTCGTCAAAATGTAAAGATTTTGGGGTGAAACGTTTCCCAAATTGACCAGTTTTTAAGAGCAATTCTAAAAGTATTTTTTTAAAAGATATGTATAAATCACCCAATACCGCAGTTTTATTTTTCAAAAAACGAAAGACAGAATGAAGTCATTAATAAGAGCATTTGATTAAACAAGTTATTATATTACAATATACAATATAATAACTTGTTTAATCCATAGCCCACTCATCAGATTCATGGTTTGAATAATCAAATAAAAACACACATATAACACCCTTCGTAATCCATAGCCCAAATAAATAGTTTAAATACCCTAAAAAAAGATAACCCTTTATGAAGTCGTCAAAAAACAAACGTTACGACAGTTTTTTTTTATATGCACAAATCCCTTTCATAAAAAAATAAAATAAAAAAATAAATAAATCTCCATAGACATACAAACTAGACGAGGGTTAATACATCTTCCGTTTCAAATTGAGACACCCCCACCTTTCACTGACTTGACATCTACGAAAGTAACTCTATACTGATACTTATTATTAACACCCAACACCCACCTACCCAATTTAAACAATTCGCCCTAGCTGTTACCATGGAAATTTTGATTTCAATTTTTAAAACACGTAAATTTCAGAAACACGTTATTCCAAAAAAATTTCGCTTGAAGATGGAACAGAGCTTATTTTAACTCAATTTAATTTAAATAATTATATTGAAGTTTTCGGCTCTTGTTTTTGAAACATGGGACTTCTTATGTCGCGATTTGGAATCATATTTTAAATAAATAATTATATATATATATATATATATATATATATATATATATATATATATATATTGACAACGTTTCACTATCTTTCAGTGAAATGGAAAACGTTGTCAATTTTAAATCTTTTCATTTCTACTTCCTTACTTCTTAAAATAACAATCAGCTTTCACTTTTTATTACTGTTATTGAAATATTTTTTCAAAGTTGTTAAGCTCAAATATTTAACGGTGCGATAGGGGAATTTCTACGGATATTTTATTATCGTTAAACTCGCCACGAGCTTATTCAATCATTAACTGAAGGATTAATTCATCAGAAATTTCAAATAGGAAAACTCTGAAAACTGGTACTAATGATTAATATGCATTTGTTCCTTACTGGTTGGAACGGAAAGGAATTGATGTATATTTATTAATATTATTATAATCATTATTAGTATGTAGATAGATAGATAGATAGATAGATAGACAGACAGACAGACAGATAGATAGATAGATAAATCTAGTGAGCCAGACAAAGCTATCCAGGTTTCACCTAAGCGGATCGTCAGGAAAGCTTGCCAGCTTTCCCTGACGATCCGCTTAGGTGAAACCTAGGTAGGTTTGTCTGGCTCACTAGGTTTATCTAGGTCTGCTCTACGGTTGTATTGAGCTCTTTTAGTTAGTTGTTTACTCGTGTCGGGGTTTTTTCTTTGGGCTTTGAACCTGTATCTGTGCGATTTTTTCGACAGACTTTCATGTTCCTGGCTCTTCCTTTTTTTAAAAACTTTTTTTTCACTCGAGATTGATTTGATTATTGGCAAATCAAAAATTCGAAGGTTTTTTCGAAACGAGTATAGTTATATATATATATATATATATATATATATATATATATATATATATATATATATGTGTGTGTGTGTGTGTGTGTGTGTGTGTGTTGTGTGTGTGTATGCATGTATCTGTCTACTTAAGTATTTGATAACTGGAACTCAGGACACCACGAAAACAATTTATAGGAACAAATATCTGAAAAACTCTCAATCTCATTGCATAAAGAAGTATTTATATAGAAAAACTAAAAGCAAATTTTGGATGTAAGAAAATGGTAAAATGCTAAAAATGGTAAAATGGTAAAAGTGATGTAACAAATATAATCTGAATTCAAAAGGCTGATCTTATATCTGTCTATATTTCTGAGATGAGGTATTACGATTACTTACATTATTTACATTATGTGGTCTGTTATATTCACCACGTTTCTGTCGTTGTACGTTCCGGCATTCTTCAGGTGACGGGAATTTCAAACCGAACCCTTTAGTTCATCAACCGGGGTATATTGTTCTAGTTCTACGTGCCATGCCTCTTCCGGATGTCTCAGTTATATCCCGTTAACTCAACTCCCCGAGTTTGGTTCACCACAGATTATGATGTTTAAATCCAGTGACTAGACCCAAAGAGTTGTGAGTTCAATACCATGCCACACCAGAGGTGAACCAAGTTGAGTATGAGACGATTAACTTCACCAGGTAAAATAACACTTGCTCCGGGATCCATAGCAATGTCTGATGCGATGAGGCTATGAAATGATAAATCATTGGGAGCCTACAGGTTTAAGATTCACAACTACCATAATCTATTGTTATTAATTTAATGATGCTCTTAATTGGCTGAGAAGGACTTAATGTTATATGAGATTCGAAGTTAAAAATGTCTTTCAAAATAATTTTGATTATCACCCTAACTGCATTGAACGGGATTCGAACTCCTAACACACTGTCTGCTGCACATAATATTTATCAATGAACTTTGGGCGGGGAACTAAGCCAAAGATTTATATACACACAGAAGAAACAAGTAAGGTGGTAGTCATGGTGGTGGCGGTAGTAGTAGTATAACAACAACAATAACAACAACAACAACAATAATAATAATAATAATAATAATAATAATAAAACTTTTAAAATTTGAAAAACTATCGAAGTATAAAAACCTGGAAATCGAAATAGAATGTGGAAAATGAAAACAAAAATAGTACAGGTAGGAAAACAACAACACATTGAAAAAGATCTCTGGAAATCCCAGCTAAAGTGAAATACAAAAAATTGTCTTGATAAGTACAGCCTACACACTAAGAAGAATTTGTCCATGTAACGCTAGTGGTGTTATGGGAGTTAGAAAAAAAATCTTGAAATGTATCCATAACAACACACTACTACCTGCCTTAGTAGATAATGTGACCATAGCAGAAATCGAAATATAATGATGATGGTGATCATAATAATTCCAGTTGTAGTTGGAGCCATCGGATTGTTTGGAAAAGTTTCAATAGACTCACGGAAGGGATTCCTAGTAGCGCATACCTTGAATAAATACAAAAAAATGTACTCACACATTACGAAGAGCTTTATTTATGTAAAATATGTGTATCTTTGTTTTGTTTTTTTTACAAAACTGATCACTGAAAAATGTCATGAAGCCATTTCTGACCGTAGGTCTCCTATTAGGACCCGGAAGGAAATGTGTATACAACAGAAATCAAAGTAAATAATAATAATAATAATAATAATAATAATAATAATAATAATAATATCATCACACAGTGACGCATGTGGCTAGTATATTTTCATCAGACTGGGTTTCAAGATAGACCGGTTCTATCAATCACATGAAAACCCAAGATCAACCTGAAAAGAATTTAGAAAGCAGTCCGGGTCCTATACAGAAAAAAAATATTTGCCGCATCTTCAAGTCAGTTACTTGCTGACTTCAAAAGCCAATGTCGTTCTCTCGTGAATTAAAATCATCGACCAAACTTAACAGGAATCGTCATATTATTTTCCCTTGACAACATCTACTATTTATGTATGTATACAAGTTTTGAAGATTTCTCTGTGGATCATAGTGCCACAACGCCAACACACTATGCGTTGCTGTTGTGGTTTTTATAACAAGTAAGTTTTTATGGGGTGAAGTAACCAGCTGCACGGCTAACTAATTTTGAATTCAAAGTTTTCCTTCTTGTCTAGAATATACAGCCTTGTCTGTCTTATTGTCAACTTATGGTTTCCGTAAGATGTAAGCATTTTACAGTTGCCTGCCTTAAGCTTAATAGTTTTTTGAATTCAAATTCCTCTTTCTCTTAGACTTGTAGTCAAATAATTAGAGATCAGTTTACCCTCGATTTTACACGGCATGGAGTAGAGAGGGATTCATGCCTTTACAGGGTTATTTTTGCAAAAATGGCGCTCGACACACACTAAAAAAGATAGGAATTATCTCACAGAAAGAAGATCGGCTGATGAATTTGCTGCAGGACAAAGCTCGTCCCACTGTTTGACAATCGAGGCAAAAAACGATAAAAGAACTGATATGTGCAGTTCCTTCACATGATACCTACTTGTCATCTACAGATAATCACTTACTGTCAAGTTAACATGTCTAAAATTGTGAAGATATCGAAACTATTTTCGAAGAATTCAAAAGCAGTATCGTATTTGGCGAAAAACGCAACTTACATGAAGACTTGTGTAAAATCAAATACAGTGGAAAAATTTTGATGACTAGATAATGATGCTATTAATTGTTATGAATAAATGATTTCATCCCCGAGTTCTAACAACTTTATATTTATATTTATATATATATATATATATATATATATATATATATATATATATATATATATATATATATATATATATATATGTATATATATATATGCATGTATATATGAATGCATGTACTAAATCCTCCTTCTGTTTCTTTTGAAAATGTTGAATTCATTTTTTTAGTTTGAAATCCACACACACACACACACACACACACACACACACACACACACACACACACACACACACACACATATATATATATATATATATATATATATATAAAACCTCCATCAGAGGTCGAAACGACTTGGCGAATATAATCTTTCCATTTGTTTATATATATATATATATATATATATATATATATATATATATATATATATATATATATATATATATCGATAGATAGGCTTTAAGATTGCGTTGAGTCAGTGTGTTGACTTCCAATGTTCACTTATATATATATATATATATATATATATATATATATATTTGGTACCCCCCATGAGGTCGCGATAAATGAGTATAGCATGATGAAAAGACGGCAAACTTGACGAAAACAAAATTTTATAGTCTAAATGATTATGCTATTATTAATAGGAAAGTCCAAAGTTTATTTGAATTATTTTTAAAAATTTTTCCTTCTTTTTAGAACATTCTAAATTTTGATTAAAAAAACATTGTTTCTCTGTGTATCACCGGAAGTAGTAAAATAACACAATTTTTAGCACATTTTTTTCTATGACACACCTTATTTTGGAAAATCTTGCAAAATAAAAATAATTGTCGGATGTTAATGAAACTTTCAGAAACTATTCACAGATGATTGAAATTATTATAAATATGTTTTTTTTTATTAAAGTCATGGCAGAAATATTTTTATATTTATTACCCCACCCCATAACTAATTTTATGAAAACGCTATAAATTCGAACGCGTCAGGTTTAGTGATTACAATAGTTAAATGCACAAGGCTTTGAGGAATGTAAATCATGTTTTTTTTTTTCGTTTTTAATTGGACCACCCTACCCGAAAATCAGCTCTGAATTGTAACATACCAAAACTTAATAAAACAAGTATATTATTTAATTTCAAATAATTTTATTTGCTTTTAGTTGTTTTTATGAATATGGGTAATATTTTCTGAAAGTAAAAAAAAAAAAAAAAAATTCGCTGAAAAATGAATTTTTAATACAATTACTTGTTATTTCTTTAATTATAATAAATGTTTGCATTTAAGTTGTTAAAATATTATAAAATTAGTTAAAAGCCGCATCGAGTTTCCTAAGTGTCCTTATGAGATAGATCTTTTTTTAGTGCGTTGTAAATTGTATCATTTTGACTAATCAGATCCGCAGTAATTAAGTAATGTACTTTTGTGTTTATAATCGGGCTGTAATTATAAAGTACGGAAGACCAACCAGAATACAATTAAGTTGCTTTATTTGAGTTAAGCATTGTTCTCCGCTGTTAAGGCCTTTACTTTTGCGAAACACTGAGAAGGGTATCTACAATTATCAGTATCATCTTATGAAATTTATATGATCTCATATTTATATTAATCTCAGTTATGACATTTTTCCATAAATGAAATATCAAAATTAACAATAAAAGGAATGGAAATACAAATAACACAGTAAAATGTAATAAATGTACATAAAATTATAGTATTTTATGTACACTTTTGATACAATTTCATAAGAAAGGTATCTATAAATTAATTAGATACCTTTCTTATGAAATATGAAATTTAATCTCTCAACAGTCTTATTTTAATTTCTTTATAATATATTTTCCATAAAGCACCGTAAACGGAAAGGTGAAAGCTAAGTACAAAAAAAAAATAAAAAAAAAATAGAGCGCTGAAAGTTTTTCTTAAAAATAACGAGGCAAAAAATTTGTTCAA